GGTATTGGATTATTTGAGCAGGTGGCCGGAAGTATACCCGTTTCCAAATCAAGAGGCATTGACAGTGGCTTTCAATAATTGGCTAACAAGATTCGCAGCTTTTATATTTACATATGTACAAGGGATTTATTTATTTACCTATATTTAAGGCACAATCCTATTGATATTTACCTGAATTTTTAATACTCAAAATTTACTCCTCTAAATCGCAATTGATTTCTTTCATAACCCATTTGAATGTGTATTTTTTGGCTATGTTTTTTTTTTATTTATGGCTTACATTCCGCCTGTAGAATATCAATTTTCAGGGGTATTCCATAGTCGGCTTATCGCCTGAATGTGTGTAGTTTTCTGAGGTTGTTCTTCTTGCGTTTGTTACTATTCCATCTAAGGCTTACAACCATTTGTGTGGCTGTTGCTGTGCCACTGCCTCTGCCTCTGCTCCTGACCAAAATCCCATTTGGCACTGAATTGTGTGCGCACATTGAATTTGTAGCAAGCTTAAAACTCGAGCAATCTATGGGCATTAATAGATATTTTATCTCTGTGTGTGTGTGTGTGTGTGGAAAAATATTTATACCTCTCTCCTGCTATACATACATCGATTTTCGTGCAGTGTAATTGAATTGCCAAGTGCTGGGGCCTCGATTCTTTTTCGGGTGGCGTTTTTTTTTTTTTTTGTGGGCGGTAACATCCGATTTTGGATGTTGGTCAGCAGCCTATAGTCGGGGGGGGGGGGGGCACTTGAAGATAGTCAACGGTTTATGACGTGTTTATTTGCCACAACAATTGCGACACAATTGTGCCACATGCAGTGACATTTATGTGACCAACTCGACCGACACAGGACCAGTGTGGGACAGAGAGGCAGCGAGTGTTGTCTATGAGTTATGACTCTTCAAGCGGCAACTGCAACCGTTGCATGCAACGTTGACACATCTGACTCTCTCTCTCTCTCTCTCTGCCTCTGCGTCTGTGTGTGTGTGTGTGTGTGTGATAAATGAAGCCTGCCAAGAAAAGCCAAGTCCAGGCACGTGACAATTCCGGGATGCCTTTAAGTGGCTGCTTTAAAAATCTAGGCCTTCTGTTTAGTAGAACATTTAATGGAAAAATTCCAAGAAAAGTTCTTCTTATACATTTGTACATGAAATACGGATACGGCTTTACAAACCCTTCTCATTTCATTCTGAAATACTCCTTTGCCAATTGAACAATAAAGTCATAATACGCTCTCGGCGTTTGTACCGAAAAGCGGATAGAAAGCCTCACACAGCCAGCTAAATGAAAGAAAATGCAATAAAATAACAACTTAACACCTTTGGCGCCCAAATAGACAGAGAGCGGGGCGAGGGGTACCCCCTCTCTCTATCCCCTCAAACAAAAGTTCCAGCCATACACAAATGCGCAGGCAATGCAAAAAGCAAACCGTAAGCGTAGACTAAGCCGATTATAGCACGAAAGTAACGGCAAATGTCTGAGAGGCAGATAGAGCGAGGGGGGAAATGAGGGTGGAGAGTGAAGAGTGGAGAGTGGGGGCGAGCCAGAGCTGGAGCAAGAAGGTCGAGCAGGAAGTGCGTGGCGTGGCGTGGCGTGGCGTAGCGTGGCAGACAGAGACGGGACAAAGAGCCAGAGCAGGCAATGAATTATCGCACTAGCAGCAGTCGAGACAAAAGTGTTGTAAAAAATGTAGTACTATTAATTTTCTTTGCATATCTTATTGTATCTTCATAAACAGACAAGCACACAAACGTGGCAAGAAGGTCGGAAAGGAGGGACCAGGGACAACCCTCCAGGAAACTGGCTTAGTGCTAAGAGATTTCTAATTCAGTTGAGCAGAAATAAATTACTTACCGTAATTGTTTGCCATATAAAACTGTAGCAAATAACATTGAGCTCTCTCTATCTCTCTCTCTCTCTGTCTCGTGGGAACTTTTGAGAGGAAAATTCTTGTTGTTTTAGGTATTTGCTTTGAGCCATTTATGTTTTGGCAGCTGCCGTAAAAGGATTTCTAGCATGCTTTACGCCTGATGGTAAATAAAAACTTAAATATCCCTGTGGGATCATTTCCCTCTCCCCCTCTCTCTCTCCCGTAAAAACTTTAACAATTTTTGTAAAATTTATTTACTTGTTTACTTTTAATTTATCTACCGCACACTTATAGTTGACACGATAGCAAATTATTGCCCTTTCATTTTGTGCTTTATATGGGCATAAATAATTGTGCAACAGCAGCAGTAGTAGCAGCACAAAACTGCCTCGGTTACAATTTTTAATTATTTTTTAATGAACTACAAAAAAAAAAGCAGAGAAGCGGATAAAAAACCTGTCTCTTACATTATAAATTTATGCATGTTTAAAGTGAATTTATTGCGTGTTTAATTGTGGATAATGCGTCAGATGCAGGCCAGCAGCAACAAGCTGCCACTGGGCCCCCCCAATCTGCCGCCCGGAGGCAGGCAATAACGTGGTAATTTCACTTTTACGATCTGCCCCGATAGCCACCGTACTGGAGAGTCGTAAAAGACCTGCAACTATCAGAAAATATAGCCTTATGTCTGGCAGGACATTTCATTCGTCGAAGTTTGCCATCAAGCATTGATTTTCAAGCACCTTTCACGTCCCAATCCTACACTCCCTGCCACAAGCCCAATCTCAGCGAGTCACGTGCTTCTGGTGGGGCTCCAAAAATCACGCATTAGCTGCCAGTTTGCACTTAAAGTCATAAATTTATTTAAATATATGAGGGTACCCCTCACATGCATTGCATACATATAAACGCGAAAGCCCCACACGTTCAGAGGGGGAGGGGGCTGGACGGCACCGCTGTAAAGCAAAATTTATATTAACTTCATTTTGCCACGGCTGCTGCTTCGGGGTGCTCCCGGGTACGGCTACGGCTGCCTCTGCCATGCAGTCATTGCATAACTCATACGCACCGTGTGCCGAGCGAATCGCGGTGCGTGGCAGGCAGTAAGCGCTCCGCTCCACTCCAGCCAACCAGCCAGCCAGCCAGCCATATCACCGACACAAAGTGAAGAAAGGCTGCCTCGAAAAATGGCAGCCAAGAGAATTTTAAATTACGCTTTTGAGTGTCGACGGTTGAGGCCGAAATGCAACTGCAATGTGGAAGAGCTGCAGCTGAAGCTGCAGCTGCATCATTCCCTTTTCGTTGCATGCATTTAATTGCAAATGAAGCAAGAGCTGTTGAGGCAACAGCGGCAGACCCAGACCCAGACCCAGACGCAGACCCAGCCAAAGCGCTGACAATGCCAATTGCCATCCTGCAGTCCCAGCCTCGGTCCGTGCCACATCAAGCTGCAAAACTGCAAATGACGTTTAATCAAAGTTGTTGAAATTGATAGCATTGTTTGTAGTGCACGCCGGCGAATGGCAAAATGGCAAAATGCATTTTAAAGTGCGCTAAATGTGTTAATTAAAGCGGCTCCGTCCCTTACATGACTTTGCTTTCGCGTTTCATTCGCCCCCAGAAAAAAACGCCCCATAAATAAATAAGCAAAGCAGCCCAGGTACAAATGCAACAGATTTGAATTAGAAAAGTGGCAGCCAACAGAAGGAGAAGGGTAGCATACTCCAGAGAGAGAGAGAGGGAGAGGGAGCTGCAAGGATCCTGGAAAATTGCAACTTAGTTGCTGTGGCAGGCAATAAAATAAAGTCTTAGCCAAGTTCCCATGCAACAGCCAGAAACTGGGGGCACATTTAATTTGTTGCGCAACAAATTAGCATTTATTTTCATTAGGATTTCAACTTCTGCTTACTGCTGTTCCTCCTTCACTCCCATATGCTCCCATGTTCAACCCATTCATTTTTTCGTCTGCTCTTTGTTTGCTTTTAATTATAAATACATGTGCTACAAGCAATATTAACCCATGGCATTGCGAAAGTCTTTAAGGAATATCCCCTCATATAATTCGTAAAAGTATCAGCAAAGCACAAAGAATCGGCCACAGAATCCTACAAAACAGTCCTCGGCGGAGCACAGAAAATACTTACTTTTCGGTCCCAAAATTTCAACAACAAATATACAGTCTTTGGCGAAGTGCATCAGTCGGTCCCAAGAAAACAAAAATAATGTACTAAAAGTTGCTAAATAAAACTGATACTCGAGAATACAAAAAGCTAATACAATTTTTGATATTTAAAAAAAAGCGATCGTTCCTAAAAACTATTTCGATTTTCAAATTTTGTTAACAAATCTTTTATATATATTTTTATTTAAATTATAGTATTCTGTGTTCTACTTTAAGTGCTTTAAATAAAGCTAAATATGTAACTGATTTTCGGGAATCACAATAAAAATTTTAAGAAGTTTAATTTAAAAAAAAAAAAACAATAATTTTAAAAAATAATTTTAATTTTTTAATTTTGGTATCAAATCTTTCTTTCATATTTTTATTTTTTTAATTCTAGTATTAAGTTTTTTACTTTAAGTTCTTTAAATAAAACTTAAAAAAAAACTCCAGAATACAAAATTCCAATAAAATATTTTAAATGTTTGATATTTTCAAAAAAGAAAAAGATAATTTCTACAAATTTATTTGGATTTTCACATTTGGGTTTCAAATATTTTTTATAATTTTTTTTTATAATTATGGTATTTTTTTTATTTATTTTAAGTGTTTTAGATAAATTAAATTCATTAAAAAACTGAATTAATAAATTGATTTCAATGAACTAAAAATATGTTATAATTATATTGGGTACAAATTTGTAAGGTCATGAATATTATTTTAATTAATTAAATAAATAAATAAATTTCTAAATCCTTTTCTACCCCCAATGCCAGCCAATGGGTTAAGGCCTGGTGCCTGCTGGTGCTGCTGGTGTATATTTTTCCATAGCCTAGCCCACAATTGTGGGCGCGTGGCATGGTCTCCTTGCATTCAATTAATGCGTGTATAGAAAGCATCGCCGCGTCGCCGATGATGCCGACCATCGTCATCGTCAGCGTCAGCGTCAAAGCCATGGCCGGCAGCAGCAGCAGCAGCATCATCATCATCACCTTGACGGCGCTGGGCATTATCCAAGTAAGAGCTAACGCCCGACTGAGCGCCCAACGAGGCTGAAGACCATGGTGCGGATGAGTAGCGCTGCCTGATGCTGCTGCCGCCGCTGCCGGCATGCGAGGCGGCGCCACCGTAAGACCAAGGACGCCGCGGATTGCTGTAACGGGAGTCCGAGTAGCGATGCCGTTCGGGGTAGTAGTGATGCTGATAGTAATCGGAATCTGAATCGGAGTCAAAGTCGGGACGGGACGAGTGGTCAATGTGTGCTGTGCGATTAGGATAGAAGTCCGCGGCGCTGGTCTGGGGGGGTCCTGGTGGGGGTCTGCGATGTCCGTAATTATAATCAACATCGTCATCATCATCACCGGGGGGTGGTGGATAATGATGTGAGTCCGTGGCTGGATTGTGATTATGGTGCGGGTGAGGGTGCGGGTGATGGTGCGGGTGCGGGTGCGGGTGCGGGTGCGGGTGAGGATGGTGCTGGTGCTGGTTCTGGTGATACTGGGGCTTATTAGTCACCACGGCAGCAGCAGCAGCAGCAGCTCCACTATATGGCGACTGCAGCACCACCGTGGGTTTAACAATAACGGGGGCCGGACTAGAGACGGGAACGGAACCGGGTCCTGAGTCCGGCACTGGGACCAAGGCAGCCTGCTGCCAAGATGGGGTCGGCGATGAGGTTTGTTCGCGTGAGTTCATCTCGGCTAATTTATTGAAACGATTGCGACTGGCGGTGTCCGTGAGCACCATCACGGTGGGATTCATATCCGACATGTGATCCTTGATGCAGTTCTGCAGCAGATTCAGGAAGAAGAAGAACGAGAGCAGCGTCAGCGCGGACATCACCCCGCTGGAGTTCTTCTTCGATTTCTTGCCGGCGGAGCCCCTCGTGGGTGGCGGTGGCTTTGGATAGGAGTACGAATGGATTGCTGGAGGATGGGGCGGCGGACGGGGTGGATGGGGCGGCGGATGGGGCATGCCCATGGACAGTGCGGGCGCACTACCGGCGCTGGCATGGTACGAGGTGAACCCACCCGAGGGTGGCGTCTGCTGCAGTTCGTACTCCACCGATGGCTCGATGTGGCTGCTAATTTCAAACTTGCATTAGCCTCTCGGTCGCTCTTCCTCTCTGTGTGTGTGTGTATTGGGGTTTGGGGTCTGGCCCGTTGCTTACCCATGGCCGGAGTGTCCGCTGTACGGGGCAGTGGCTGCATAAGCACCGTTGTGGCTGCTGCCAGCGGCGGCCAGCAGCGGTCGTCCCTGTTGCTGGTAATGGTAATGGTTGCTCGGATAGTAATGGTTGGGATAATGCACGCGTTGCGTTTGACTGGAAAATATGGAAAGCGAGAAAAGGGAGTGGGAAAAAGGCACTGCGAATGGATGCAAATGAGACTGACTAGAGGGTGTCCCGAAAATTGTGCGGGATCTGCCTGGCCCTGTAATAAAAGGACTTTCTTTGCATACTTTAAATCACATTTCTTCATCGTACTGTCTCCCATGCCTTTCTCTTATCACTTTCTCTTGAATCACATGTGTCCTCCATCTTTCGGGACACCCTTTATCCTGTGTATGTCCTCGCTAAGTGCCTGAGCTATGGCGCTTTCGTGCTCTGCGGCTGCTTTTAGGGGTTTGGGGTCTGGCGTGGGGGTTTCATCGCGGGGTCACGGCTAGTGTCACTTTCTGTCATTTCGGCTTACGCATAATTATTCTCCGCAATTGCTGACAGCAGTGGATGTTGTTCCTGCAGCTGTTGTTGTTGTTGTTGTTGTTCCTGTAGCTGTTGCAACTCTCGCAACTGCTCCAGCTGAAGTTGCAAATTTTGGCTCTGATTTGCCAGAGACATGCCGTTTGTTTTTGGAATTTCAGCAAATTTAATTGCTAATTGATTCTCTCTCTCCCGCGCGTATGCTTATCACTTCACCTCACTTCACATAAAGCGGCGGATACACTCAACTGCCAGAGGCAGTAGCCACAAAAGGAGTGCCTGATGGCAGCAGGGGCGCCCCAAAACCGCAAGTGACAATGTCGCTTAGGCGACTGGGCTTTTGCCAGACACTTGGCAGGCAGCTATTAACAGGGGCAACACCGGCAACGGCACCGGCACCGGTCCGGGCCTGTCATTGTCAGCTGTTAAGTGAGTTTGAGCTGCAACGGCAACAACAACGATCTTAGCACCTGAATGAGGCAGCAGCAAGTGGCAAGTGGCAAGTGGCAAGCGGGAAGCGGCAAACTGCAAACTGCAAACTGCAGCTACTGCAAACTGCCGGCTCTGACAATTGCCTGTAAAGTGTTTTGCGGTGACATCGACCAACTGACACACACCTGAACTGGAGCGTTTTACCACGTCCCATCCCGGACCGTCCCTGATGCGCTGCACATTTTGGCCAGCAGACAATTAGTGCACGACATAAAAGGCGGCCCAGTAATGCTTCTACACACTCTACTCTCCCTCTGGGGGCTCCCTTGCCCCCCTCCTGTCAGTGTTAATGACGCTGTTGCAGTCGCTTGTTTATTGCATTAAAGCTCTATGGCTGGGCTGCAGCGTTATGCATCAGAAATTGTCATAATTGTGCCATGTCTGGCACTGAGTCTGCCACCCTGCCACCCTGCCTCTGCCACAGCCTTTGGTTTTAGCTGCCAAATGGAGCTCAGTTCTTGCGGTCTTTTGTGTGGTTAGTCGGAACGTTCTCTGGGTGGTTTATGGAGGGAGATTCCATCTCTCTGCCGTTGAAGATTTATGACTTGGGCTAATAGTTTTCATTGCCAGCAAATGTTTATGGTATGTATTGTTGGGGCATATGCGTTTTAAAGGAGATACAAATTTAAAAATACATAATTTTGAAGGCATTTAGACAACGGTGGACACCTAAGATAATTGGGATGGATTTTCCTAGATTTCTATAGATTTTCCACTCCCTAAAACTCCTTTAAAAAGCAGAAAATCTTTAAGAAAATATCTCGACTCCTTCATTCAGTTTTTAGCCAGCAAACTGCAACCCCAAAATGGTATTACACATTCGATCAATTACCCACAACATCTAACAAGTCCGGGGCTGTTGTCTTCCCTAAACAGGAAACATTACACTGCAATGGCAAATATTTAACATTTCCGCAGTGGCAGCAGCAACAAAAAAACAACATTTGCTGAATCAAAAGCATATAATAAATTGTCAAATGCTGCTGCACTGCAACTTTTCCACACATTTTCGGCTTTGATTTGTCGCCCAACCACCGCCCAACGCCCAACCCTCAGGAAATGTCGGCGAAAAATGGAAAAACACAAAAACTATACAACTTTTGCTGATGCTCCCAAAAAGAAGAACAAAAAAATAGCAAAAAAAGGAAAGGAAAGGAAAGCAAATCAAAAAGTCAAATGCCTTGAGGGGTTGCAAAATTTGAGAGTGGCTGGAATGTGTATAGGGGGGGTGGGGGTGGGTTGGGGGACCTTCCCCCCCCCATGTTTTAGTGTGTAGGGGATGGAGTATTTGTATTTAGCTTTTGTTGCCTGGCGCCATTGTCAACATATTTCAAGCGCGCCTCGGCCTGGGCCTCAGACAGAGAGTCAATAATAACGCGACTTTCCCCATATTGTGCCCATCGTTCCCATTTTCGGGGCGGGGTGGGAATGGTATATTCCTACAAGATTTTTATAAGATTTTTATGGCCAGCAAAATTGGTCAGTCCCGCGCCCCGGCCAGAATTTAATGACTGGAAAATGAGGCATTTAAGCCAAGTGCCAAAGAAAGTTCCTTCTGCAAACGTGCCCGGTCAGCCGCTAGTATTTATGGGTCTGCATCTGTATCTCGGTCGAGTCGGTCTCTGTCCGTATCTGTATCTGTATCTGTATCTGTGTCTGTCTCTGAGGGGAGCCAGGCCTGTGGACTGGGCCCCGTGAGGCATAGCCAGGGCTGGAGCTGGAGCTGGAGCTGGAGGTGGAGGTGGGTGTGAGAGCATACATTAATTGCCGTGATTAACACGTAGGCGCATTAAATTATACAGGAAAACGGTAGTGCCAGGACAGTCGAAGGAGTAAATACCCTAACTGATGAATTTATTGGGGAATAATTGGCTAAAATATTAGAAGGGACTCGGAAGAGTACAAAATGATGAGAGAAAATATCAAAAAATACAGGAAATGATGTCTAAAACGTAAGGACAGAAGAACAGACAGAAAGATTGAAAGAAAATGGGTGTGAAAAGATGCTTCTTAAAGATGCGCTTGTACCCCGCCCCGAAAGGGTATCAAAACCAGGCCTAGACCCGGGCAATGCCACATCAATTATCGCATATGAAGCCACCAATGCATGCCTCGTTCTCTCTGTGTGTGTCTGTGTGTGCGTACGAGTATCTGTGTGAGTGCATAAATCATTTGGCTACATTAAGTCCTTTGAGGAACCCAAAACAGGGCCACACAGAACAAACTTTTTGGGCACTGGCGAAATGAAACAAAAATAAAAACTCGTTAGGCCAGAGCCAAGACGAAGAGTACGTGCCCAGGACTTGGACGTGGACTCCGACTTGGACTAGGACTAGGACCTTCCCCCCCCCTCTCGGGCAGCGCCGGACTGTGCAGTGTCAAGTGTAAAGAAGAACTACTAATCAGCAGTTAATTCTTATCTTTAATTAAGTGCACGTTTCACCCCCGACCGATCCAAGGAGCAGCCAAAGGAGTCCCGGCATCGGCTCCATCGGCGTTTATGGCAGATGGCAGACACAGAGGAACTTCCCGTCTGTCCAGTCTGTCCAGTCGGTCTGGCTTTTTGCTCAACACTTTTGTTTGCCCTTCCCCGCTTTTTGGCATTGTCCGGGACAAAGGCCACTCGCTGGACAGGACACCAGCGCCGGCGCCTTTTGTCGCCTTTTGTCGCCTTTTGTCCCGCTCCGGTCAATTTAATGAAATAATCTAAGCAAACACTCTTGAAAATTAAGCAGTGTTTTTTTTTCGGTTTCCTTTCTCGAATTAAAAATGTAATGCGTTTGCTTTTGTTTTGTTGCTGCGAATAATTAAATGTGGATATTTTTCGTTGGGTTTTTTTTCTTTGTGTGTGCTGGCCAATTAAAAAGGCCACGCAACAATGGCCAAGGCGCTCATGCATGGCTTATCCCCAACCCTTGCCCCAACCCTAGCCCAACCCTTCATCGAAGTAGATGGCCTAAGATGCTGCTGGAATTCGACGCGATAAACTTCGACTTGGCCTGGGTCTGGGCACCTCGGGGGTAGTCCGTAAGTCATTACCCCCAACTGGAATGCGCCCACAGGTAGGTAAACGGCGGAGAATACAGCGACAGAAGCTGCTCCTGCTGCTGCTGCTTTTGGCCCTCTCAAGTTGTTTGACAAACAATACACAACCCCTGGCCAAGAGAGGGAAGAAGAACAGCAGCGGCAGATGGAGATGGAGGTGGGAGTGGGAGTGGCAGGTGAAGATGGGCTAGCAGGAGGGGGGAGCCATGCTACATGGAGATCTGGGCACGAGAGCCGCACTCAAGCGTACCCGTCACATTTTTGCGCTTTTACATGGCCACCCCTCCTCGCATTCCCCCCCCCCTCCCTGACAGAAGTGCCCCAAAACGTGGCATCATCAGATACATGAAAACAATTTTTTTACAGCAGTGAAAAGCTGCACTAAAAATAAAATAAAAGATATTTTATTGAAGTGGCGCAGGGGAGCCCCAACCCCGTCCCCCCCCCCACCCAGAACCCCTGCCCGGACTCTGGCAGATTAATTATGCATCGCTAAAATGCTAAGCCAGGTAGCACCACACAGCAGAGAGCACACAGCACCACGGTATCGCAGTGCACGGTAGTGCCCCAAAGGCAAGTGGCAAATGGGGGTTGGGGGTGGGAATAATAGGGTGGATGGGGTGACTAGGAATGGGTACAAGAGCCCGCCCGAGGGGGAGTATGTAAAAGCCAAGTACAAGCCACAACAAAATTAAAATCAAAATAAAATCACAAAAAATGTTTTTGGCAAATATTCAGATAAAATGGAAGGACTTTCAGATAACCCAACCATATAGGGTGTGCACACTATAAGAGGTTGGCTGTATCTATTATAGGAGGACCCACTATTGAACTAGAAACTACTATAAAATATCTAGAATGGATTGAGTATAGGATGGAAGAATGATGGCATGATCAATGGGATTTTATTGGGGTATAAGGATGGAAATCTATACAAATCTTTGAAAGCTTATGTGGGATAATATTGGTTTATAATTTAGTTAATATTTATGACTTTATTACACCCGGATTTGGATCGTTTTTTGTTGTTCCCGGCTGACCAGAGAACCATATCCCTAAGTATTTTGGGCCCTGAACACGAATCCAAGGTCAGGTTTACTCCTTCACGTCAGGTGACCTCAAAAGACCTATATGGTCGAAAAATGGTGGAAACATATTTTAAAAATTGATCGGATTCGCTTGAAACTCTTCAATCGGGGATTTTCGGGGTCAAATATTAAGAATTTTAAGCCACGACACCTTTTTTTGTGGGGCTCGGATTCCCCTTTACTACAGTACCGTCCATTACCTAAGTAATGGCCTATCGAAGGTCACACATTCAACTTACGATCCTTTATAAAATAATAAATGCAAATCGGTTTGGCTTTCGCTGGTGCTGCCTCAAATCAAATGCCTGTCACAGACAGACCCTACAAATCATCATGCCTCTTCACACATGGCACTCCCTCGCACCCCCTCACACCCACACATACGGCTGCCCACTTGCCACCAAATTATTCACATAAATAAAAAACGGTGGAAAAAAAAAATTAAGATTAAAATAAAAATTAAAAGCTACAGCTAAAAATCAAGCAGCAAACGTCAAAGCCAAAAGCGTGGAG